AGGCGGCCGCCCCCGCCGCAGGGCCGGCACCGAAGTTTCAGGCTCTCGAACCGTGCGCGATGGGGGCTTCTCCAAGCGATGCCTAATCGGCCGCTTCCAATTGAGAGGCGCTTCCAGCTCCCCGGCAACCCGAGCCGGCGGCTTCGGCCGAAGGGACGTGGGAAGGGAAGGTCGTTCCAAGACGTGGGGTGTCGCCCTGGAAACCCGAGCAGGGTCTCAGTCACAGCAGTCGGTGGCCAGGGAACTAGTGCCCTTGCGTGGAGGGCACAAGAGGTGACCCCAGCAAGGCTGGTGTTAGGCGTTAGAATGGGGGTGGGCACCTCCGGAGCCCAAGCGCGCCCCGGGCTACGACTGCAGCCCTGCAGGCAGAACGGGAGGACCGAAGGCGATCCCGACCGCGTGCTCCGGCTGGTCCCGCAGAGGGGCGGGGCGGTGCAGCCTGGTCCTCAGTCGGTGGGACGGGACCGAGGGGTCCAGTGATCTTCCCGGTTCCGAGCGCTAACAAAACGGCGAGGTCCCGCGGGCCGCGTTCTCGCCGCGTTTTCGCCGCGTTCTCAAACAGCCGCACGAGCTCCGGCTGTCCGGAGCCTTCAGAAGTTGGTCGTGGCGACGCTGGGCCGGGGAGGGGACAATGCTAGGAAGAGTCGCCCGTGCCCTTCCATCCTCGCCCCTTCCCGCGCGCAGGATGTGCGGGCCTGTGATCCCGGAACGCTTCCTGCCGTCCCGGTGGACGAACTTGAAAGGGCCGGGGAGGTGTGGGCGCAGAGATCCGGGCCAAGGGGGCGGCGGGGGGGGGCGCGCCAAGCCGGGGGCAGGTTACTCTTCGCCATCCTGGGGTCTCCGGTCCTCCAGGAAGGGCTGTGGACGTCGCCTGGGCTGAGGACGCTGAGACTAACTTGTGCGTCAGCTACGGGAGGTCCCGGGTGGCCCAAAGGGTTTTCCTGCTGGTACCTGGAATCCCCGCAAAGTGTGGGACGTGGGGGGGCGCGGCGCCGGGAAGCGGGGTCCGAAACTCTCCGCCACCAGCAGCCGAGAGGGACG